TTTTTTTTTTAAATAAATAAACCACCCCAATCTACACGTCACTGCAATAAACTGTCACTTTAATAGTTAGCTCAACTAACTAGTCATCAATCACCTCACCTTGAACCCTCCATTTAGATTTCAGTTCGAATATCGATCGTCACTGCAGGTAAAAAATGCCCTCTTCCATTATTATCTGTTTTTGTTGTTTATGTTTTCGATTGTGATCAGGGTGTGAATCAGTGATTTGTAGTTGTAAGTGTACGTGAAAATTCTTGCTGTTTTTTTTTTCGTAGAATCTGTTTCTTGTGTTTGGGGCGCTGTTAATTTATGTCTGTATTCTTCATTATTTGTGAAAAAAAATCGGCCTTTTGTGCATTAATCGCTCATGTGTAGTGTGTGCGAAAAACTCTGCTGTGTGTGTGTGTGTGTGTTCATAATTTTGCAGAAATTTGCATTTGGGTTTATTTACTGTTTGGATTAACACATTACACACCCCATGTGGGTGAGGTAAGTATGAATTTGCTCATAATTTTTGATGTAAAGATACTTTGTTTTCTTTCGATTGTAGGACTGTGTTTGTTTGTTATCCTCTCTAATCGAAAAAGAAAAAAAAAAAATTGGAGAGAGATGAAACAGAGGCATATTGATGCTCCCTCAAAGTCAAATTCAGCTATTGGTGAGACAAGAAATCAAGAAAATAGTAATGGCGGAGTGAATACAGCATTGAAGGACAAAAATGCAGTATTGGTGGCTAAGAGGTCGTCTTATGTGATATTTGCCTTGTTTGTGGTGGCTTTATATGGGGCTTGGGGAGTGTATCATTATCAATATGTGCATCTGCCTGTGCCTTTGAGTTCCCAGCAGGTGGGAAAAAGGGGGTTCTCTGAGCTTGAAGCCATGAAACATGTGAAAGCTTTGACTCGGATGGGCCCACATCCTGTTGGTTCTGATGCCCTCGAGAGTGCACTAAAGGTGATTTATAGTAGGGGTCTCAGTTGTGATCTTGGATACTATTGCTGGCTTTGATTTTATTTTATTTTTATTTGTTGATACTTTCGAGGATTTTTTTTGTGCTCATGTCTCTTGAAGTAGATGACTTAAATGCTTATCATTTTTTTTTATCTTAAACACTCATTTGATTTCACTTAGAATGTCTCTCCAGGCTAGCCAAGACATAATATGTTATATTGCTATGATATGATTGAGGGTATTTTGTAGAAGTATTGCCTAATTAAGGAGAGAAAAATGAATAAAAAAAGAAATGAAGAACAGTTATACTTCAAAATGACGCATATTGCCTAAATGTTTAACGCCCTCGAGATATTATAAATGTTTACGTGAAGTTTGGCAATAATGCTCAAAGATATCCGTTTCATTCTATGACTTTTAGTTTTGTGGTTACAATCAACCTCTACGAAGCTATGGCTAATTTAAGTTCATCTTTTGCTTGTTTGCTGCAAACAGTATGTAACAGAAGCAGCAGAAAGCATTAAAAGAACAGCTCACTGGGAGGTGGATGTGGAAGTGGATTTGTTCCACGTGAAGTCTGGTGCTAACAATCTGGTCGGTGGCCTTTTTAAAGGGAAAACTCTTCTTTATTCAGATTTGAATCACATTGTACTAAGAATCATGCCCAAATATGGATCTGAAGTAGGAGAAAATTCGATCCTAGTCTCCTCCCACATTGACACCGTCTTTGCAGCGTAAGTTTGCAATACTCTCTGAATCTGAAGCATATCGGGAGCCATTTCTGCTTTCAACTGTACATTACAAAGACCCCTTTAGAGTCTCTCTAATGGCATTATGTCTATTTTGAGATGTGTGGAATGAAGAAAGGGAAATAAGAAATTGTATCTTCAATGGTTAATGTGGATTGTTGAAAAATATGGCATGTGTAATATAATGATTGGTTGGAGATGAGAGAGAGCAAGGGAAAGTAACAATAAAATATTAGATAGAAGATGTCTAGAAGTCCTACATTTAGAAAGACTGACTTCTGAACATTTTCCATGCCACATGAGATTTCTTTTGCCCACATGAAGTTATAATAAGACAATCCATAGACAATTGGAAATGCTCCTAATACTTGATGAGTTGATTCTATTTTATAAATTGCCTCTATTGACACGGTTATTCGTAAAACAAGGGACTAGGTAATACTCCAAGGGAGCACTTAAAATATAAACATCTTCATCTTTATGTAATTAGCTTAACTTCGATGTAGTTTTTGTAGTTTGTCTTGAAAATCAATGATTTCATTTTACATGGCTTTCTGAGGGAATTGGATAAATCCCAGATGCTAACCAAATACGCACTAATTCTTGTTTCGACTTCCTGTCCAGGGAAGGAGCTGGGGATTGCAGCTCATGTGTGGCTGTTATGCTTGAGCTTGCTCGAGGAGTTTCTCAATGGGCTCACGGGTTTAAAAATGCAGTTATATTTTTATTTAATACAGGAGAGGAGGAAGGCTTGAATGGTGCTCACAGCTTTATCACTCTGGTCTGTATTCACAAAGATTATTCCATGCAGATAATTGTTTTTCTTTTATATAAATGCAAAAAGGGTTTAATGTATCCGTTCTTTCACACCATCATCAACACTAAATGTTTTTCCATGCAGCATCCTTGGAGTGATACAGTACGGTTGGCCATTGATTTGGAAGCAATGGGCATAGGAGGCAAATCTGGTGTTTTCCAGGTCTGATGTTGTTGATGAGCAAAATGTTATCCTTTCTTCACATTTCCATATTTCTCTTCATATATATTAAAAATATATGCTTATGTACCTGCCAACACGATAATACAAGCAATGCCCTTTATTTGATATGAAGTATTAAAAAATATTAGCGCAAATGATGTATATTGTCTCTCATTAAAGCGAATTAATTCACAGCTTCAAGGAGATTATGATGCCATTTTCTTTTTCCTTCATACATTTTTTTTTTTTCAATTTCCTAATCCCTACAACATATGTCTAACAGTTAACCAATTTTCATTTTCTTTCCACTGTTTTCTTGCTGTCTTTAACAGGCTGGTCCTCATCCTTGGGCTATAGAAAACTATGCTTTGGTTGCAAAATATCCATCTGCACAAATTGTCGCCGAGGTTTGTTCATAATCAAATGCAACAGAAGATCTTGCTATCAGCTTTGTCTTTTTTCAATCCTACACTCGTATTCTGTGTGACTCAAACCACAGGATCTTTTCTCTTCGGGCGCTATAAAATCATCGACGGACTTTCAAGTGTACAAAGAGCTTGCACGACTTTCAGGGCTCGATTTTGCCTTCGCAGATAATACAGCTGTGTACCACACTAAGGTAGTTGCAGTGTGATGAACTAAGAACTGCATTTACTTAAAATATTTTCCTATTAATGCACTTCATTCTTTGATAAGAAGAAACTTGTTATTTATTTGTTTACGAATGTGAATCCATGGAGTTAAAACAAACCTACTATTTAACTGCAGAACGACAAGTTAGAACTTTTGGCACCTGGTTCTCTGCAACATCTTGGAGAAAATATGCTTGCTTTCTTGCTTCATGCAGCTTCTTCCACCAGCCTCCCGAGGGACAAATCAGGAGAATCAGATATGAAATACAGCGAGGAAAAGGCTATATATTTCGATGTTTTGGTATCTTGACTGGCTCCTTTTGTTGTATATATATTCGTAGGTATAAAATCTCTTGTGATTGGAGCCCACAAAAAAATTACGATGATCTTTAGAATAGAAGAATTCCAAAAGATGTTTGCATTTCCTTAACATTTGTCCTCCTATTTCACTGGAAACAAATATCAAGAGTTCATTTGTAATTTCCAAAATAACTTAACCTCAGGGTTATTTTTTTTTTTTTTAAAATTTGGGAAATAATGGACCATATTTTTATCATCAACCTCTCTTATGTCCTTAACTTTTTTATGGTTCCTGATCTCAGGGTGCATACATGATCACATTCAGGCAGCGTTTTGCCACCATGTTATACAATTCAGTAATATTACAATCCCTCTTGATATGGACAACTTCGGTTTTCATGGGTGGTTATACTGCAGCCATCTCATTGGCTCTATCATTTTTAACCATCATTCTCATGTGGATATTTTCCATTAGTTTTTCATCTGCCGCGGCCTTTGTTCTCCCGCTCGTGTCGTCATCACCAGTGCCATTTGTCGCTAGCCCATGGCTTGTTGTTGGTTTATTCGGTGCACCTGCACTTCTTGGAGCATTGACCGGTCAACACGTTGGTTATCGTTTTCTCGAGACTTATTTGGCAAGTAATTATTTAACTGAAAGAAGGAAAAGTTTGCCAGCTGGCTTGAAAGCTAGTGTGGCTAAGCTGGATGCGGAGAGATGGGTTTTCAAAGCCGGCTTACTACAATGGCTCGTTTTGTTGATAGCCGGGAGTTATTATAAGGTTGGCGCTACTTATCTAGCTTGTGCTTGGTTAGTCTCACCCGCATTTTCATGTAAGTTTTTCTTCGTGAATCTCTTGTATTAACTTATAACCATGCAGGATGCAAGACTGAAAGTGAAAGGTCACGCTTAAGAAATCTATAAAAATAGGGGTGATTACTGAAGAGAGTACTCCTGAGTATTATTATTGCTAATTTACAGAAAAAAAGGGGGTTGTTATGAAGTTAAAAGAACTCCCCGTGAGTTTTGAATCTTCAACGTATAATACACACACACACACACACGTGTAATTTCTAACCTTTCTTTATTGTTAATATTCTGGATCATCTAGATGGTCTGCTCGAGGCAACACTATCACCAACAAGGCTTCCAAAGCCGCTTAAAACCGTGACCTTGATTATCGGCTTGTTTCTGCCCTTTCTACTCTCTTCTGGCATGATAATTAGATTGACTGCTACTGCAATTGGAAGTGCTGTCCGCTTTGTACGGTAATGGTTCTGCTATTCCTTGTTTTTGTTGTGTTACTATCATTGGTTTGAATCTGCAGTAATTCCTTTTAATAAAGGCTTACCTTGTTTAAAGAAAAGATAAAAAATAATTGGCTACTTATGAAATCTTAGTTGAATAAGGGTTTCTTAGGTAATAGTACTAAATACAGGAAGCTAAATAATACAATAGGTATAGATAATTATTAACAATCTAGCCTTTTTCATTTTCGTAGCAGCTTATCTATGTTAGTGAACAATTTTGCGTAGACAAAATTTTGAAAATGCTGCATAATTGTGTTTCCGTCTTGGGTTTAATTTAATACACTGACTTATTTATTTATAAATCTATTGGTTGTTTCACTATTATTCGTTCATCTGAACAATTCGTGGATGTTCACACGAAATACATTTTCTCAAACTTCAATTTCTAATATATATAAATCGCAAGAAGGCCTCATTGTCATGCCAGTTTCTCCTTTTTTTGACTTTCGCTAGATCATTATGCCTCAGATCTATAAAAATGAGTCTTATTAATAATTTGTGCCTGTATTTGCAGGAAACCGGGCACAACTCCTGAATGGATGGGAAATATTATTATTGCCATTTTCATTGCTGCTGTTCTATGTTTGACAATGGTTTATCTATTGTCATATATTCACATATCAGGTGCTCAACTCATTGCTATGTTCTTTTTTACTTGCTTCAGTAATTATAGTGACATTCCATAGTCAGTCAATATCGTGAGAGAGAATCGATTCACCAAAGACACCCAAATGGATCCATACTGCTCAAACAGTGTGGGATCTTTGGTATTCATATATTCCTTGAGGTTCCTCATGACTCTCAAATAAGCAGTTGGTTTATATGATTTTAACTCTTTCTGCTAAAAACATTGTATGATAGACTTTCTCTTAATATAGTAATTGAATGTCAAATGAGTGTCTTAATAGCTTAAGTTTTTTAATAACACGGCCACTCAATTGTTTTTTTGTAAATAGTCATGTTTCTTATAGTAATTATTTTGAATAATTACTCATATATACCATGTCAAGTGCTGTTACTTACAATCCGAAAATAATAAAAAGAACTTGATTCTGTGTTAGACAAGTTTTGGCAGAATCTATTGCAAAAACATTTAAGTAATTGTAGAAATAAATTTAGACAGTTCGTAAGATCCCATCACAAGTTAGACAATGGCAGAATCCATTGGATGTTTTGAAAAATATATTTATGAATTTCAGGATAATAACACAGAAGTTCTCTACCCTGTTTTCATTACAAATGACAGCCTCATTTGTCCTATTAATTAAAAAGAAATGCTCTGTTCTGATAAAAAAAAATAAGCGTCTACTTTTTTATTTTTATATCAACTTGTTTTATTTCCTTTTTTTTTTTTGGCTCTCTAGGTGGAATGATGTCAATTGTAATTTCCCTAGTTAGCCTGTTTGCCATCTCTCTTGGTGCGGTTTGGGCAGGCGTGATTCCACCATATACAGAAGATATTGCTCGAGCTGTAAATGTGAGTAACACAGATATATGTTATAACAACACAGAGTCTAGATAGTGTTAATTTGATATATCATGCATCTCAAACTATAATCTTGCACATTTTTTTTCTTTCCTTTCTTTTCCGATATGAACCTTACATTTCATAAGATGATGTCTCTAAATAATGTGAGAACTTCTTAATTCATAATTTTCTTTGTATTAATTTCTAATGTGTGAACTTCTAATGTTCCCAGGTGGTGCACGTTGTGGACACGACAGGCGAAAATCGCGAACCGGTCTCTTACATTTCTCTCTTCTCGACAACTCCTGGTAACCTGAACAAGGAAGCTAACGATATTGGGGAGGGGTTCGTCTGTGGCAAAGACAAACATATAGATTTCGTCACTTTCTCCGTAAATTACAGCTGTTGGTCGGACAAAAATGCCGAAACTGGGTGGGTCAAG